ATTCTTAATAATGGGTAGTAATTATTACTCCTATTTGTTAGGTAGACTATTAACTATACCCATATACATTTCACATAGAACCTCTAAGTTTGTTTGTTTGTTTGTTTTTTAGCATATCCTAGAGTTGGGATGATTTTTATCAGGTTTTTATCCCTTGTTCAAAGCACAAGAGACTGTATCAACCACATATGTTGTTATTTTGGTTAATATGTGGAAAGTATGCTTTGTTAACAATTTAAATGAAGTTTTTTTTTGGTGTATGGAACAGAAAGATGGTTCTACTCCTAGCAAAATGTTGTTGAACTATATTGGTCTTAAAAGTGTTAATTGCTTAAAGTAAATATGCATTTCAATAGCTGAAATGTTAACTTTTATGATAATTTTCAAGAGATACTTTTTTGTTGTTGTTGTTTAAAGAAATAAAAACAACTGTTAAGTTTTTCTTTTGCAAAGTGAGCAGCCCAAATCTTGAAGGACTCCCTTCGCCCCGAGATTTCGCAAAACCAACGGACTCTCATAAGAACAAAGTGATAGGCTAAAATAAAGAGGTTACTTAAAAAAAATATAATAAAATTACTTCAGTCAGCACTTTTTAGAAGTAGACTACTGTGTGATATTTGACTTCTAATTAATTTTAACCATCTTTTCCATTGCAAGAAGGGAGGAATATTATGGAGGGCTGCAAAAAGTCTCTTTTGCTTTCTATCTTGACTTTTAGCTCATGGTTATCCTGCATGGAAAATTGGTCAAGCCTGGCCTAAATCTCATTGCTAGTAATTTCATTTTTCAAGTCAGGCTCCCTCAAGAAAGAAAGAAGAAAAATAACAGCAACTCTTTTTACTAAGAAGTAACAGAGATACGTATGATTAAAAAATAGTTCTGAGACATACTCATTGTTTCCTATGTAAAACTATGAAGACTGTTTTAGCTTTGATACCATCATGTATAGGCCAGATTTCTAAAGCAAATGGATAAAAGCATTGTGCCCGGCCCTCCCTGTTGGCGCAGCGGGTTAAAGCACAGCACTGAGAATCTAAAGCCCCTTCCGCATGAGTTCGATTCCCGCCTGCCCCGGAGGTGACCACAGGGTGTGGCAGACCTCTCCTGACCCGCCCGCTGCTCCCCTCAGCAGTGTACTTTGTCGATCTGCCTGATCTGTTCCCCACTGTCTCTGGTGAAGCCTCTCACCGCCCCTGAGCCTCTGGCCTGTACCCCAGTTCTGTGTGCACAAATAAATCTTTAAAAAAAAAAACCATTGTGCCCTCTCCCCTAAAGCCGTGTGTCTAATTGGCTTTAAAATTCCTCAGACTTTTAACTCCAAAGCCTTGCACCCTGCCTGCCTCCCATCTCCACACTGCTGTCCTTCGGGCTTCATCTCTCTTGGATTAATGCAGCAGATGCTGTGTTCTTTCCCTGCCGCCCATCACTTTTTTTTTTTTTTTTATAACAGGCTGTACATCCTCTTCTCCACCACTAGTATTTCCTTCTAAAAAACAAGTGTGATCATGCCACTTCCCAGTTGAATAGGCTTCTGCTAAGTACTCCTGACACAGAGGCTGAAAGGTGAGCTCCAGAGGGCAACTTTCAGCTGTGAGCCCTGAACTTTTGCCCCGACTCCATGCTTACCTGGGCCTGCACCAAGGCCATTTGGAAATGTAATAATTTTATAATCAAGGGGCTCGCTCACATTCTTAATTTCACACTGGGCACTGCAAATTCCATTGCCAGTTCTGCTTGTTATCATATTACCACCCCCACCAAAATTTTTTCTACCTCTCCATGTACACCACACACTCCATCCTTAGGGAGTCTTACAGAATACTCCACATTCTTCTCTTGCTTATTCTCTCCCTTTCTCTGTGTGCTAGAGTCCTACTCAGAGACTCAGCGCATATATTACCTGTTTAACATCCCACTCAGCGAGAGTGAGTTGCTTTCCTCTGCATGCTTGATTCGTGTTCATTAGAGCCTAATAGTGGGTTCACAGTGTAGCTTCTTCACCAAAATATAATCTGCATAAATGTATCTGCCATCATCCTCAGGGCAAAGTCTGACATATAGGTACTACTCAGCATGCACTTGGGCATACTCATTCTAATCGTGTTTACTGAACTCTTATAGTAGACCAGGGCTGGGCTGTGAGGGTGGAGCAGGAAAGACAAAAAGCAGACAGAGGCTCTGCCCTCAGAGAGCTGGCACTTTAGCAAGTGAGATGCTTTGTCTGCAAATAATTATATCCCGAAAAAATAACTTCAGCATTTACTTTAAGATGGGAAGTCTTCTGCCTGATTGGCAGAAATAGTGGTGTTGGAATATTATAAACAGTGAATACCGGAGGGTCTTGCATAGCACAGCTGTCCTTGATTTATTTTGTGATATTCAGGGGAAGGGTGAATGTTAGCAGGATTCTAGGTTTCTTTCATTAAATCTGAGATTCCATTGATCATGAGGCAATGATGTGCCTTAAAAGAATGAAGAAAGAAAAACAAATTCCAGCAGGCCATTCATCGTGAAGCATTCTGACTTCAAAGAGAAAAAGGGAATAAAAATGTGCATCCTGGGGGGAAAATGGGCATCTTGGAATAGATACAACATAGTAGTTCAAAGGTTAACTGCAATTGAGTCAGGGAAATACTTGGACACTAAAGACATGATTAAAATTAATATATCATGATCGATTCACAGATGATTCTGTCATAAATAATTCACTTTTAAAAGTCGAGTTAGATGTGTTTGTTCAACTAGAAAAGAGATGTGCGGCTGACACCAAGAAAGTTAATCACACAGAAATACCTACCGAAGTCTCACTGTTCAGGAAACGTGACCTGTGTAATGCACTCATCTTTGTAGACATTGGTAGATAAAACATTTGTGTTTTACACAAATACATTCATGCATGCAATGACGTGTGCATCTCACAAGAGCTCTATCAGGTGGTTTACAACCAAAGAAGTGGAATTCCTGAAGGTTGAAAAGGCTTGAGTGTAGGCCCTCAGCCATCGAGAGAGTCAGGGCTTCTAACTGCACCCCATGCTTTTTGGAACAGACTGTCTTAGCTTGCTTTGCCATAGCAAGTTAGCTTGCGTAGGCTGGGCAGTTCAAGTAGACATTTATTTCTCACAGGCTTCTGGGAAGTCCAAGGTCAGGGTCAGGGTCCTAGTAGATTTACTTCCTGATGAGGACCCAGTGTCTGGTGTGAGGTTGGAGGTACTAGAGTGAGATTCCAGGTACAAGTTCAAACTCTTATTATGCTGAGAAACTTTCACCAGCAACCATTTTGTTTATTCTAATGTGAATACAAGAGCTTCCTCAAAGGTACTTAATGAAATAATGTTCTTCCTGAAAGGATCACTGAATTTTCTTTAGCAGCATATCTGTATAGGAGTCTACACTATAAGTACATTTACCAACTCTTGTGAAATTTAAAGAGCAAATTTGATTGTGAAGTGCTTTTATTACTAAGGAAATTTTTCTAAATGTCACTATATAGTGTGACTGTGGAAACAGACTTTGCATTTCTCAAAATAAGTAGATAAACTAATCTTAACCCTGGGTAAAGTTTTACATTTAATAAAAGGTATCCTTCCATTTTTTGCTTTGGGGCCTTTTTTCTTGTGAATTGATGAATTGAATAACAGCGGCATTCTTCACTTGTGGTAGATTCTGTGAATCATTTATACTGCTGTTGTGAACTGGAATGTCTGTATTTGGCTCTCATGACGTGAATACATAGCATGACTCATTTATATTGAATAGTAAGTATACCATTAACACCAGTTAAGGAATCTCCTAGGTCACTTATTTTCTCCAATTTATTCATAGATTTCTACTTAGGGTCAGTAGTTTTCATTGAGTATAACCATGAATCAGAGCTCTCATGAACTAGCTCTTTAGTTTGAGACATAAATCCTTTTAGATCAAGCATGGAAACCTATGAGGACTAATGGTCTCTGATGAACTGGCTTTGGCTTTGACTGAAGAAAATTTTATCTTTGGAAGCTGGATTTTAAATGAATTCTTTTGCATTCTCATCAATTGCCAGAGAAGTAGCATACCTCACCTGCTGACCTTGACTAAGTCATGTGAGAATGGGGTTACTTGAGGGGCAAAAAGGGAGACTAACCTATGTGGGGTGCCTCCTGTAAGCCGGTAGCTATCACTTGAGCCTCACATAAATTGGGTAATATTACCGTCATTTTCACAAGAGGGGTCTCTGGCTCAAAGAAGATATGTGACTTGCTCAAATTCATTTAGCAAGTAATTGCGGAAATGAAATTGGCACCTACGTCTTTGTGACCTCAGAATCCATGCTGTCTTCTCAAAGGTGCTCACGGGGAAGCCAGAAGTAAACACTATACTTTACCTCAGATGAATTTTGTTTCTACAGAGACTCATTTCAGAATCTGTTATTTCCAATAGCTCTGTTTGGAACTTAATAGCCCTGTGTGAAGAACACCCAGGTCTTGTATCACATTGTAGCTTTATTACTGTGAATTTTGGTACAGTAAAAAATTACTGTAAATTTTTTAATCTGGTGCCTATTCACTTAAACAATTTTAAATTCTAATACGGTTATATTCATTTTCTTTTTATTACATGAACTTTGTTTTAATTTATCAGGCCTTAAAATACTTGACAACTTAAAGACATCTCCCAGAACTTATGAAATAGCAGTTTGCAAATAGGATCACAAACCAGTGATATTTAAAGACTATATAACATTATTATATGACTCATGTGTTACTAATTATTGATGTATAAAAGGAGAACTGGTCAAGGAGCATTCGACATCGGCTTTGTGACAACATTAGAAGTTTTATTGCAGAACTGTTATGTAAACTCGCATTTCCTGGGTGGTCTCAGGATTGCTTCAAATTATCCTGGTCTAAATTTTCTTTCAAGTTAAAAAACAGTATAAAAGGATAATGTTATCAAAGGCTCTCATTTTAATTGCCATGTATTAATTTTCCTTCTCTCCATTTGTGTTTTTTTTCTTCTAGGAGAAAAATTCAAGGTGGACACAAAGACCATTGCAGTTGACTTTACCTCAGAAGATATTTATGATAAAATTAAAACAAGCTTGGCAGGCCTTCAGATCGGTGTTTTAGGTTTGTACCATTGCCATATATATGGATTTTTCTTGCATTTATGGTTTGATGTTTCACTATGACTGAACATTTTCTTTTAGCATATTAGCAGTTCAGTTGATAAAGGGACCAAAGAGAAGGAATTGTCTTGTTAATAACGATTGACATTAATGGCATTGAGCTATAGACATTTGATTCTTTTTGTTTTTCATTATGTATCTATCAATGACTATTCTACACTTCTAATTGTTTTCCCTGCTTGATTTATTTTCAATCTCTTAGTCTCTCCATATTTAGATAGAGGTATATCGTAATATTCCTTTGCAATGGTGACAATAACCCCTTTTAACAGTTGAGAGAATATAGGCTTAGGATAGGTTCTCTAGGTTCTTGTTCACTATCACTGCTCAAGCCTTTTTTGGGGACATTTCTCACCATGAAATTTTGATACCACAAGTACACAGTTTATGTACTCGTATGCATATCTGTGCCTTACAGATAAAAGAGTGAAATGTTTCCTGTCCTTTCTTTAGACAACACCCCTCTTCTTTAGAGTGTAAAGAAGTGGTCTTATTTAACTTCTAAATAAGACAATTAGAATCAATTAAACATGTAAAACCCCACACATTTCTGATGGAATATTTACTGACACACACACGTTTCTTTTGGACATTTAATTGGTTATACTAAAATAAAAAATAAAAGGAAAAGTCAAATGAAAGTAGGCACAGCTCACATTCGCAGGCCCTCATACAGCACTTCCCATGCACCATCTTTCCGAGTGGCTGCACATATGGATTTCTCTCTACTTGCCACAGCTGTCTTCCTCAGTCATTAACTGCACCATTATTGTTGACAGCTTTTAGCATTTTTTACATTTATTGCAGAATAATTTTAATTTGTCCAGATTGTTTGAAGGAACTTTAGATGTCATATTTATTATATATAAACATGTGTAATAAGTATACATATATTATGTGTATGTATATTATGAATCTGTAGTCCCACCCACTTCTTTCTTCCTTTTCCCCTTGGCTCCCCTTTGAGTTCCCTCGTACCCCCACTTCTGTCAGGAAAGGGGGAAAAGTCTTATCTATTCTCCATCTTCCTCTGCTTACTGTTTTGTTTTTTTTTTTTAAATTTATTTGTGCATACAGAACTGGGGTACAGGCCAGAGGTATAGGAGTGGTGAGAGGCTTCACCAGAGAGAACAGGGAGCAGAACAGGCAGAGTGAGGAAGTCCACTGCTGAAGAGAGCAGCGAGCAGGTCAGGAGAGGTCTGCTGCGCCATGTGGGTCACCTCTGGTGCCGGGTATCGAACTCGCACTGAAGCAGCTGCGGCCAGCTTGCAGTGCTGCGTCCTAACCTGTTGTGCCACCAGGGAGGTCCCTCCTTTACTTACTATTAATTTCATCTCTAAAATTCCCTGTACCAAACGTATAGATTGATATAGATCCAGCAATCTTACATTAAATCATAGGAAGGAATTTTTATCTACCTAGTTATTAATGAAACCAGTAATGATAAAAAGGAAAAGAAATCACCAAGGAACACTTCATTTGAGTTGTGTTAACCACCAAAGTATATTCCGTACTCAATAAAGAAAATTAATATTTTCAGAATTACAAAGGAAAATGCTAAACCCCGTTGGCCTGAAAGACACATTAAGGTTTCAGTAAGATGACTGGAAAGAAAATGGCCATGAATTGTGTGAATTTATACTGAAAGGTCACCATAACTTGATAAGATTATAAATGCTTAAAGTTGAGAAGTTGGACACTTAACTCCTGTTATGTAAAGTGGGTAAAGCATCTGCTGTCTTCTTTCAGGCAAATGCCAAGAAACACAATCTTAAGAAAGCTTAGAAATTTTCAACTATTTAGAGAAAATGGCATCAGTACTCCTGTGAATAAGCAAACAATTGGTTCACAAAATTAAGTGGCTGTAGTGCTTACTTGACTCTTCAAGACTCCCCTTGCATGCTTCAGATTGGCTGGGAGGACTTCGTACAGTTTATCACAGGGTGTGTAATTTTCCAACGCCAAAGGAGTAGCCTTGGATTTGAATTATGCCACTCACAATAATTTTTGTCCATTACCACTACTGTGATGTTTTTAACTTTTAAAAAGTGACTTCCTTCATTGCAGATTTAAAAGTAGAAAAAAACCTCTTGGAAAAAAAAAAGTTAATTTCTGATTCATTCACTTAAAAACAAAAAATCAATCATAGCTTTATTTGAACTTTTTTTTTTTTAAAGATTTATTTATTTGTGCATACAGAACTGGGGTACAGGCCAGAGGCTGAGGGGCGGTGAGAGGCTTCACCAGAGACAGAGCGGGGAGCAGAACAGGCAGATCGACGAAGTACACTGCTGAGGGGAGCAGCGGGCTGGTTAGGAGAGGTCTGCCACGCCATGTGGTCACCTCCGGGGCGGGCGGGGATCGAACTCATGCGGAAGTGGCTTTTAGCTTCTCAGTGCTGCGCTTTAACCCGCTGCGCCACCAGGGAGGGCCTATTTGAACTTTTGATGCATCCTAGACCAAGAGTTTACCCATGTCAAATGCTATCAAGGTCTTTTCCATTCATCACGTCATGGTTCGTTTAAGTTGTAGGATCAGGATAATCATTTGGCACAGGGTGACGTGTGGTGCCATGTTGGCCTTGTCTATTCAGGACTATTTGTTAACCACTGAGTTTCTTCTATCTGTACACCACATCTACAGTTGAATGGATGCATCATTTTAATACCTATGAATAGATAATAAATGTCAGTTGATTGCACAATCTGGAGTAGACTTTCTTATTTTCTTTTCCTGTGCCCTTTATCAGTGAATACTTGCTCCATTAATGTACTTGGTGGGTTATTTTTTTATCCTCTCTTCTCCTCAATTGAATGTAAAAATGTCTTTTTGGTATTTTGCCCAAGCAACCTTAATGGAAAATGCCTGGGAAGTATTTGTGTTCTACTGAAACCTAGTTATTTCCTAGAATGTTTCGGAAGGAGAATAGTCAATTTTGGGAATATTTATCTTGAAAGTTAGTTTGGCCAATAAAATGAGTTCTCATGATCAATCTCTCTAGTTCTGTTTGTTTTCAGTTTCTTAATAAAAGAACCAAGAATATTAGTCATTCGTTGGGGAAAGTGTTAGTTAGCTTCCAAATGACAAATTAGCTTCTAGATAATGGGATCTAGAGATGGGCCATTCCTTATAGTTCAGCCCCCTCCAATCTCCCCTCCACCCCCTTATCAGAAGAGGAGGAAATGGATGCAGATCTAGGAGAGGTAGAAATGCATCTACAGGAAGGGTGTTGAGGAAATTTTTCTAGGATCAAAGAAGAGGAAAGTTTCCTTTTCTCTAAGGAAAGCTTGAGCATTGTAGTAGGGCTTGTAGCTTTCCAGTCCTAACTGAGTAAGAAAATTATAAGTAGAAGAATCTGCTTGGTTCAGAAAGTTTAGAAACCTATAAAGCTACAGAATATATTGCTATTCTCAAGAACATTATTAATTAAAATTAGTTTTAAGTTGCCCTCTTTTGAAATTAAATTGCTCTGAAAGAGCCAATAATACCTGTCATTTATTGACATCTTCTTGGGATTAGGGCTTGCAGTTTACTACCTGTATATGTTCTTGTTGAATCTGTTGCCTTTAACATGGCTGTTTTAATTAGTGAAAAACATGAAAGGAGAAAAGATTAAAGAGTAAACACTAGTGGCAGGTTGTCACTGGGCTCTGAACAAGGCTTCTGTGGCCCTTTTTGTGGAGTCTGGACCTTGCCTCCCCCTCCTTGGGCATCATTAGTGTGTTCACCACTGGGGACTCCACATGCTTCATTCAGTGGATGGAGTGTTTGCTCAGGTTTCATTCTGTAGGCATAATTAATTGAATCATTTGCCATGTGATGGAACTCAATTTCCAGGCGCCCTTTCAGCACCAGAGGTAGGGCTAGGTCAAAGTGCCAACCTTCCAGTCTGTTAGCCTTACTGATGACCAACACCATCATGCTGACCTATCTGGTTAGCATAAATATGGGTGAGATTGAGGTGCCCGTTTTGAATGACAGACACTCCAGTCACCGTGGAAATTCCAAGGACTAGAATCCCCACTCCTGGAACCTGGAACCAAGGCCAGTATTACTTTACTATACATAACCTTTTCTGTTTGTTGATTGATTCATTTACTAACCACATACTAATTCATTCAATCAGTAAAAATCCAGAGAGACAGCAGTAAATAAAACTTACATTGTAGCTGTTTTCTCAGAAGATAGTATGAAGTCAGGGTCCCTGAAGGGTTTAGATAGTCTTTACTCTGTCAGCCCAGAGGTCTCTTGTCACCTCAGTATGGGAACTAGAGGCCAGTCAAGGCCCTGTAAGCCTTAGGAGGTCTATCACCTTTATTTAAAGAATGCAGGTTGTTAGGGGTTGAGACCAGCAGAGCGCAGAGGGCTTGGAACAGTTTATGCCCTTGCCAAAATTTTTCCTCCGTTCCTAATCTAGAAGAGATCACCATGTCCACTGTTTCTTCCCTTCTGTTAATCAAAGAAGCAAACACTGCTCTCCCTCGTTCAATCTAGAAGAATGTTATTGGAGGTCTCATCCAGTTGTAGGTTGATCAGTGAATGTGTTCTCTCTTAAGTCTCACTTTTATTCTCAGAACCTCCTCATCTGTCTTATGAAGTCTCCCCCTCCCTGTCCTGAACACCTCACACTCCAAAAAAATATGCGAGAAAAATATGCCCAGTCCGCTTCATTATTCTTAAGAATTTTTAGTGAATACAGTAAATGCCCCATACATGTGTTATTTGATTGATTTGCTTTTCTTTGCTGAATTCTCTGATGTTGTTTTGATTCATTGTCCTGCACGAGAACAACCCAGAGAGGTGGGGGATGATTTCTCTTGAGCCTCGATAATAGCCATTGAACGAGTAGTTGGGAGTGTGGTGTTCGTAATGAAAGGGGTGTTACTGAGAAAGTTAAGGTGTCAGTGATGAACCCTGGGAAAGCAATATTTAACTGAAAGC